GAAACAATGGGCAAGCGTCCTGCCGAGACGGGGGGATGTGAAGGGTCCCTCCGGTCCTGACCACCCACAAGATAGCTGAGCTTTAGGGGGATTCCTAATGAAAGTGTCCTCCCCCAATCTGCTGTGACTTCTGCGTCTCTCCACTCCTTTCTCTCCCCACATGTTTAACCCCCACACTCGTGGACTGGGTGTGCGGTACCGTTACCCTATGGACAGTCACAGCTAGCAAGGCAGTCCGTATCAAATGACGGCTGTCTTATTAATACTGTTGTCTACCAATAAGCAGGGGATTCTCATTATCAACCTGGCTTCGTGGAGGATGTTATGAAGAGGAGACCTGGCACCCGGTGAGTGAAACCATCGCTGTGGGTCTTAGCATGCTGTCCACCTGATACAGAGCGCACAGTTGGGTGGTCAGGAAGAGAGTGAGTTCCAGAGAAGGGGCGAATCATAGCGTCTGTGAGTTTATGTGTACACTGCCCTGCCATGCCCAGAAAATACTGTTCTGTGTGGCTCCTCCACAAGATCTAGCCAAGCCCATTCCAGCATGCAGTGGGCAGGGTCTTAAGAAGGCCCTTGGTGAGCAGAGGAACGAGGAACCATTGAGAGCTGCTGGAGACCGGACAATCAGCTTTCTTTGGGACTCGGCCCCTGACAGGTTGTCTCAAGCTCTGCTGGATGTTCCTACAGACATGCATACACTGACTCCACTAAGAGAACCCAGTGGCTTTAAAAACAAACAAAAAGATCACATGGAATTGGGAGGGAAAAGAGGAGAGGGATTTGGGAAGAGTTGGAGGGGAGAAAGTGAGGATAGGTTTGATCAAAATATAATAGATGCCGGTATGAAATTCTCAAGCCATAAAATAAAAAATAAAAGAGGAGAAAGTTTACTGCAATTTGGTAACTGTGTGTACACATTCGATGTCAAAATTACTAGTCTACATTTTTTAAACTGGTCTCTCTTTAGACATGTAAAATAAAATGATGCATTTTATGACTGGAGTACCAACAGCTCCAAGAGGTACTTGAAACTAGCCCTAGAGCTGCAACTTTTTCTAAAAAGCAAAACAAGACCAACAGGCGGATGGAGCCCAACCAACTTGCCCACGGACTAATTTGCTGCAGACTCAGCTTTATTCTTACACATTTCGGGGCAGAGAAGCCCCAGTTCATTGGCTTGGTGCAACCATCTGTGACTTGGGCGACTACAGAGCTCAAGGGAACTTTAACAATTAAATAGCATCTCGATTACGTCTAAATAAGGCAAGGTACAAATAAGAATACTGAGTGCGTAGAAATCCAGTTGGGGGAAAGACAGGGAAGCTAGGAGATTTAATCACAAAGCTCAGTGTGTACCCATTACAACCATCTGCTGGGGATTAAAGGAAAGCAGCCCCAGGCACAGCCTGGGAGTCACTTACCCCATAAACGGGAACAGGCTTCAACTACTGGCCATGCATAGAATGCCTTCAGGCAACATTGTACATTAACCATTTGGACTGTGAATGCTTTTAGTTAGATGCTCCAGTTTCCGGGTTCCAGCACAATGCCTGTTGTCTTTATCTGTCTACTTAAAGTATGTACATCACAAGTATGGCCCCAGGAGGTAGAGCAGCTTGCAATCTCAGCATGCTCTATAAGCAGCTACATGACTCTTCAGAAGGCTGTACTCACAGGGCCAGGGACTTAGTTTAGTTGGTAAAGTGATTGCTGCATATGCATGAGGTCCTGAATTCCAGCCCCAGAACCTACAGGAAAAGAATGTTTGGGGGTGGTGGCATGTGCATATAATCCCAGAGCAGGAGAGGTAGAGGTATGCAGGAGCCAGCCTAGGCCACTTGCTAAGTTCTAGGCCGGTGAAAGACTCTGTATCAAAAACCAAGGTAATTGGTCTCTGAGGAATGATAGCCAAGGTTGTCACGTGGTTTTTCACATGATTGCACACACACATAAATACAAGCACACATGCACATATGCACACACACATGCACATACGCCAAAGGTTTTATTCATTACCTTTCTTGTTGCTGTGACCAAAAGCTTGGCAAGCAGCAGCTTGCAGAACATGTTACTTCGGTGCATGGTTTCAGTCCATCATGGTGGTGAAGGCACAGCTACGGGAAAAGCTCCTGGCTGTGGCAGCAGAAGAGGTGAGGCTGATTGCTCACATCTCAGGAGATCCGGAAGAAGACGAAGATGAGTGCTGGATTTGATCTAGCTTTTTTCTTCATTTCCTTTCAGTCCGGGATTTGACCACCATCCGACAGATTGTGCTGTTTGCACTCAGAGTCTTCAGCCAAACCTCCCAGAACCCCCTCATAGACACACTCAGAGGTATATTCTATCACTGTATCTCAAGCCCACCCATGATCCTTTGTAGTCAATTCTCTTTCCTATTCCAGCCTTTGGAAATCATTCATCTGTTTTCTGTCCTTATAGTTTTCCTTTATCTAGGATATCATATAAATGAAATTAGATTGCATGTAACTAACAATCTGGCATCTTTCACTGGGCATAATAAATTAGAGATTTTGTCATGCTGCAGGTACCTACAGTCTACCCTTTGACTGTTTGGATTGCACTAGCAGTTTATCTGTTGGTCCAAAGATTTTGTTTACAGTTTTTTTGGCTATTGCTAATGAAGTTTCCATGAACATTCCTGTCTAGATGCCTGTGATTTTTTTTGAACCATGTGACATGGGTGTGCTTAATTTTATTAGAAACTCTAAGGCTGCTCTGGAAAATGATGCCTACATCTTGTCTTGCTGCTGAACTTCAAAGTTCTAGATACTTTAGATCTGTGCCAACACTTAGTACCATCAATATCCATCCCTTATTTTGACTTTCACAAGAGGTATGCAGTGGAGTCCCATTGTGGTTTAATGACATCCACCATTTTTTAATGTATTTATTTGCCAGCCACATAATCCTTTTCATGAATGAAGTGTTTCCTCAAATGTTTGTGCTATCTTTTAAAAATTTGAATTGGAAAAAGGTGTATTTATTTATGTATATATGCATGTATGTGAGGGTGCCTAGAGAGGGTGCCAGGTTCCAGGGAGATGGAGATACAGGTGGTTGTGAGCTACCAGACATGGGTGTTGGGAATCAAACTCCTGTCTCTGGGAGTTAGCAGCATAGGTCTTAACCACCGAACCTTCTCCCCAGAACCCCAAATTGGATTTATTTTTTCCTTAGGATGCTGTGCAGGCCCTTTGTCGCTGAACTACATCCCCAGACTGAGTTATTTGCTTGTCTATGATTGGATTTTAAACTGGTTTAAAAATGTATCTAGATATCCTTTATTAGCTACATGTTATGAAAAATAACAAGCTCTCAATCTGTGATTGGTTTATTTATTCATTTGCTCAAGAATGTCATTTAAAAAGTGGGACTGACTCAGACCCCCTGAATGTGGATGTCAGTGAGGAGGCCTAGGTAATATATGGGGCCTTGGGTAGTATTTATCCCCAGTGTACAAATAGAATCTGAGTGCCCATCCCACAAATATGGGATGCTGCCTCAGCCGGGACTCTTGGAGGAGGGCCTAGGCCCTGCCCTGGATGAAATGACAGTCGTTGGAGATCCACCATGGAGGGCCTCACTCTCCCTGGGGATCCGAGTGGAGATTGGGTGGGAGACTGGGGGACCTGCTGGAGAGGCCGGGGGAGGAGGGAGAGGGAGCTGGGATTTATATATGAAGCAAGCTTGTTTCTAACTTAAATAAAATTTTTAAAGCTATTTTTGAAAGTAATTGTACACTTGTAAACATAATAGAGATAACTGTGTGCCCTTCCTCCAGTTTCCCACAACAGGAACCTCTTGTAGAACGATATAGCTAGACAAGAAGACATTCACCGGGAGGGCGTCACCAATCTTCTCCATCCTCTCTTGACATGCAGGTCTTCTGTATGTTGGCTCTGTTCTCTTTCCCTCCCTATCGCCCTGGTGACCTCATCTCCGGCATTTTGTCATTTCAAGAATGTTATATAAAGGGACTCATATGTAATATTTAACTTCTGCTTGCTTGTTTTTAATTCAGGGGATTCATTCAGGTTCTTACATATTATCAATGGTTCATTCCTTTTAAGACAGTGTTCTAAGTCTGCCTTGCCCGCAGTTAGGATGTATTACCAATTCAGCAAACACACAGATTTCCTCGTGAACACAAGTTTTCATTTGCCTGAGATAAATGTCCCCAAATTGCAGTGGGTGGATTACACAAAGTAGCTGTACCTTATGTTTTCTCGGAAAACAAAAATCAAAACCACACAAACGAAGGTGGAGATGGAGACGCACTCAGATGGTGAGGTGGAGGCCATTATAGCTTCTCTTCTCTCTCTTCTCTTCTCTTCTCTTCTCTTCTCTTCTCTTCTCTTCTCTTCTCTCTCTTCTCTTCTCTCTCTTCTCTTCTCTTCTTTCTCTTCTCTTCTCCTCTCTCCTCTCCTCCCCTCCCTTCCCCTTCCCTCTGCCCTCTCTTATATATATATTATTCTCACGAAGTTCTCAGTCACTATTGATCTGAGCCACATTGCGGTTTGGTTTTAATTTGCATTTTCCTGGTGAGTGGAGGTTGGGCCCGTTTTCAGAGGCTGTCTCCCAGGAGTTCCTCGTTTCCAGACGTTTCCCATGGGAAGCAGTCTCTTCACCGAGAACTCAGCACCGCCCTTGCCCTTGGGTTGTGATTTCTGTTGAGAACCTGCTTTGTCACACAATGATTTCCAAGTAAACTCAGGGCAGCTTGGGAGCTGCAACCAAAAAAGGCCTGATAAAGGCAGACTGACCAGACAGACTTAAAGGAGTTAACGAACGAGTGAGGAGTTGTTAGGAAAGGGGCCAGGCTGGGGGTTGCAAACCCTTTAATCAAGTCCCTAGAGCATCTCCCATCTCCCACACACATGCGCAGCGCTCCCCCCCGCCCCGCCCCAGCTCGGCCCCGCCCTCAGCCCTTACTCTCCGTTCATGACCAATTAGAGTAGAGGAGGCGGGATCCCGCTGGCCGCGGTGCTGCTTGGGTAGCATCCGTGGTTACTGTTGCTAGGGCAATGGGTCTCAGCAGGAGGCGTGAGTAGAAAGTTTTGGGGTGACCTAACTCGGAAAGGTCAAGGGTCAGTGTGGAGTCTCCGCTGGTGATGGTGAAGCAGACGATCCAGATTTTCGCTAGGGTGAAGCCCTCGATGCGGAAGCAGCAACAAGGGGTACGGGCCGCGGGGTCCCGCGTGGGTCGCGTGGGGTGGGGGCGGCAGCGCGGGGGTTGGGGCGGGGCGCGGGGCCGCCACGCAGACTGCAGCCCCGAGGGCGGACAGGGCCCGCCCACAGCCTCAGCCCGGAGCCTGGAACAGGTGTGCACACTCGTGCACGCGGGCCTGTTTGCACACTCACCTGTGCCGTTCGTTCGTTCCCATCCACCAACAGGTGCTCCTTGCACTCTTCTGGGCCACTGCCCCCAACCCCAAGTTCTGCACTCACACCTTGGAGCTGGGGCTGAAGGGTCCCCAATGGGGCAGCCAGAGAGCAAGTATTGTAATGCACGTTCGTGAGTGGAATCACACAATTACAGGCAAGCATGCCTGTGGGATTTCTTATCTGCGTTGCTGTTCGGCGATGTTCACAGACTCCTTGTGACATGCATTCACAGTAGCTGCTTTGTGTCCCAACACACGCCCGCCCCCAGAAAGCATTAGCCGAGCTGTGTGCCAATGTCTGCCTCCTGGGTAAGCATGGCCATGGCCATGTTTGGAGAAAGCACCACCTGCCGGGTTCCTTTTCTGGTTTACCACTGATCCTCTGCTGGGGCTCTTGTCATTGTCCTTATCTTACCCAGGAGGACACTGTGTGGTAGGTTAAATGGCCAGGGAACCCAGCTGGTGAGTCGCAGGAACTCACCTTTGTTTAATTTTAAGTTAATTTGTTGTTTGTCTTGAGACAGGGTTTCCCTTTGTAGTACTTGGCTGGCCTGGAACTCAGTATGCAAACCAGGTTGGTCCTGAACTCACCTGCCTCTGCTTCCTAAACGATGGAATTAAAGGCTTGGGCCACCACTTCTGCCTTTACCTTTTTAAATGTTACATTTGTATCAGGAATTTTAATTGTTTCACTCTCTCCATTTCCTCCCTCCTCTTCCTACCTTTACCACCCAAACCTGCTTCCCAACAAGTCCTGCCCCCTTCCAGGTGATGTTTGCTTGGTTTTTGGTTTTGTTTTTGGTGTGAGGCGCCAAGTTTAATAATTTTAAATACGGATTTTGAAACTTACATTACCTCTACAGAGAAAACAAAACAAAACAAACCCGAAAACCGTTACCCTGACTTCCAAAGTGAGTATTCAGGCAATCCGATTCATGTTTGTGAACGCCTAGAATAAATACGTAATTAATATTGCTTTAGTGTTGTGTGTATGCAAATGTGTAACATTATGGCATCCTATAATTTAGCATTGGCCTCTGGTAATTTATGTCCTTAAAACAAGGAGATTATAATGTCTCTGCCATTGTAATCTGTGGCCTTTATCCCATGAAAAACATTCAGGAAAACTGTAAGAAAAGACCCCAGAGAAAAAATATTAGTCACTTAAAATTTTTTATTTTACCTACTTGATGAAAAATTTCTGTACCCCGATAAGCCTCTCCACCAACACAGCAATCCAATCAGACCAAATCAAACCAAATTAGAAAAAGCCGGGGCTTAGAGGATAGAAAGCTCCAGCCTGTTTTTCTGGGGGGCAATTCCAATACCCTGTGGGGGCAGTCCTGAGCATCTTTGGGGGAGGAGCCCTGTTTGGCAGGTTTTCTGGGATGAGGCAGGGTTTGGGGAGAGAGAGACTGGGAAGGGGTATTGAGATGGGACCTCCACCAGAACAATGTATACAACATTCATGCAGCACCCAGAGGCCAGGAAAGGACACCAGACCCCCTGGAGCTGGAGTTACACATGGTTGTGAGCCCCCATGAGGGTGCTGGGAATGGAAACCCAGGTCCTCCTGTAAAATGAGTCAGTGCTCCTCACCTCTGAGTCATCCAGTCCCAGTGTTAGTCTTGGTTGCTAAATAAAACAGTGGGGAGAGAGCTTTGGGCATCCTGGCAGTTCCTCACACCGAGACCTTCTCAGTCCCAGGTAACCCTGACCTCCCGATTCTTAGGCTTTGGACTTGCTTGGCAGTCAAAGAGTTCAGCTATGGCTAGGAGGTGGGCAGGGGTAGAACTGGGGAGGAGTCTTGAAGCTTAGTTCGTTCTCTGCCATGTTCTTGATGAACACAGAGTGGCCTGTGCCGTCCTCCAGGAAGTAAGCTCAGACACACACCGCGTTTTCACGATACCAGATTCTGTCATAGAGGCTCAGTATGCTACAAGCACAAGCAGAAGAGAGCAGGAGTTGACACACACCTAGCCGGTGTGCCCCCTGTCCTTCAGAAGCCGCACAATAAGAGTTCTTCTTGTCCCAATAAATGTGACTGTCTCTCTGACTGTGAGTGCCGTTTACGGTACAAAACCAAGAGCAGCTCCACGACTTCATCTATCTAACTCTTTGAACCATAAAAATATTAATCATACCAATTTACAGATTAGGCCAGACCTGGGGGCACATACCTGTCAATCTCGACACTCACTGGTGGTGGTGGGGGGGAAGGGGGTGTGAACAAGGGGGACTTTTTTGAGTCAACCTAGGCCCCATAGTGAGCTCCAGAAACTCCAATAGTATTAGCTACTACTCTCTGAGACCCTGGTTTCTTGTTGTTGTTTTGCTTTTGTCTTTTGTTGTTGTTGGAAAAGAAAAAACAAGCATCTGGGTAAGGTGATAGACATCTTTAATTCCAGTCGTAGGGAGGCAGAGGCAGGTGTGTCTCTGTGAGTTCAAATCCAACTAGGTCTATATGTGAGTTCCAGGACAGTCAGGACTTTACACTGAGACCCTATCTCAAAATCAACACACACACACACACACACACACACACACACACACACACACACACACGGTGGGGTGGGGTGGAGAGAGAGAGAGAGAGAGAGAGACATAGAGGAAGGGTGAAAGCCACTCTATTAAAGTTTTCTGGTTCTTCTCTTTAGTGGTGGCAGTGTGAGGGTTTGAACTCAGGGCCATCTGGATGCTGGGGAAGCATCTGCACTGTGTCACCTCCTAGCTCTCAGGGACTTCCCAGTCTTAAGCACAGTGTGGGAATTCATCTGCTACCCCAGTTCCTCCTTTTCTGATTACTGAGCATAGAGAGATACCAATTGTCTGTAAAGATTCCTTTTTAAAATTAGTGTGTGTGTGTGTGTGTGTGTGTGTGTGTGTGCAAGAGAGTGCACATACCCTCGGAGGCCAGAAGGGGGCAGCAATCCCTCACAGCTGGTGACTATGGGTGCCATATACCAAACCCATGTCCTTTGAAAGAATGGCAAGCACTCTTAACCACTCAGATCTCTAGCTTCCACCCAAGATAAAGATTTTTTTAAAGTATGTGTCTCTGCTCAGTTTTGTGTATTTTGTATCATACACACTCCTTTTACTCCTATTAAACTAGCAATGCCCTGCCCTACAGGATAAATTGTTTTGTATTCTCTCATATATTACATCAGACCACAGTTTCCCCTCCCTCCTCTCCTCCCAGTTCCTCCTCTCCATCATTCTTCTCCCCAAGACCCACCTCTCTGTTTCCCTTCAGAAAAGAGCAGGCCTCCCAGGATATCAACCAAACATGACATAACAAGTTACAATCAGACTAGGTGCATCCCCTCATATAATGCTGTGCAAGGCAACCCACTAGGATGCAAAGAGTCCCAAAAACAGGCAGACAAGTCAGAGATAGTCCCCACTCCCTCTGTCAGGAGTCCCATAAAAACACCAAGCTACACAACCGTATCATGTATGCAGAGGACCTAGGTCAGTCCGTGCAGGCTCCCTGACTGTCGGTTTAGTCTCTGTGAGCTCCTATGGGCCCAGGTTAGTTGATTCTGTGGGCCACGTTCTTGTGATATCCTTGACCCCTCTGGCTCCTACACTCCATCCTCTGCCTCTTCCACGGGGTTTCCTGAGCCTGCCTACTGTTTGACCGTGGGTATCCCCATCTGCTCCCACCAGTTGCTGCACGAAGACTCTGCTGGTGCGAATGCTAGGCTCTGGTCTATGAGTACAGCAGAGTCATTAGGAATCATTTCGTTGACTTTCGGTTTGGTTTTGTTTGTTTGTTCATTCATTTATTGCTGGTTGTGTTAGGTTCTATCCTAACAGGATAGAGTTTGTAAATGTCTCTTGGGAGAAAAAAAAATCTAGTCAGAAAGCCTCCTTCCTCTTCTGCTTGCAGCAATTTTATTTTACAAAATGGCTTTTCACCTGAACTTTTCATGTTTTTTAAGTAAGTTGTTTCAATAAGAATCGGGTTAGGCCAGGTATGGCACATGCCTTTAATCCCAGCACTTGGATTTGGTGGCAGTAATAGATGGATCTCTGCCAGCTGGGTCAACAGAGAGAGTTCCAAGCCATTCAGGTTTACATAGTGAGACCCTGTCTCAAATTAAATAAAAAAAAGCATCTGCTTTGGGAATTATTCATGCTTTCTGTAAACTTGGGTTTTCTGTGGGTAGGAATATGACTCTTACCCTCTAATCATACGTCTAAATGAATCTAACCTAAACAGGAAGTACTGCCTGTAAGAGATTTTATTTCCTGGTGAAAGACAAGAAGCCTTTCTACAATTTCTTTTTATGGCGCATTACAAAACACTTCCATTTACATTACTTCATCCGACTGCCACCCTTGCTTTCTACAAGGTAGCCGTAGATTTTGTTTCCCACACTGATGCTGAGAGCAGTGGCTGGTCACACACCTGGCAGTTGGGTTCAGCATGCAGACTTTAAATTGTAGGTTTTTTGTTTGTTTGTTTTGTTTTGTTTTTAAGAGCCTTGTGTGTTGATTTTCCTGGCCAAGAAATAAAAGAGTGGGTAACAGAGACAGGAATCAGAAAATGGTTCCATTGTTAAGGTTTTAGGGCTCTCTACTTCCGTGTCAGCCTGGAAAGCGGAAGTGATTTCTCCCAGGTCACTTAGTAAGCAGTGGGTTGAGCTGGGATGAAAGCACTTGATATCACAGACACGAACACTTATCTTTTCAAACCACACGGCTCATCAGATGCCTGAAACTTGGGGCTTGGGGGATATAACTGAAACTTGAACACTCCTGTTAGCTCTCTGAGAAGGTTTAGACGTCATTGTTGTGACTCTTGTCTGTAGCTCACACATGCTCAGAAGTGTTCATAGGGTGTAGCAAGAATGTGAACCTCCTCTCCAGATGGGGAAGCAGTGCCTAGAAAAAGGCTTTTGAGGGTCTTCTCAACAGCAAGGTGGATGTTAGATCATCAGAACCTTGATACAGCCTGGTTTGAAAGAGAATGTCCCCCGTAGGCTCAGACACCTGAACACTTGATTTCCAGCTCTTGGCACTATTAGGTATGGAAACTTCAGAAGCTAGAGTCTTGCTGGAGGAAGTCACTGGGTTGCCTCACCCAGTTCACTCTTTGCCTCATGACTTGTGTTTGAAGATCTGATCTCCAGGCTCCTGCTTTGGCCACCTGCTGGCATGCCTTCTCCCCTGACCTCATGGACTCTCCTACAGGAACCACAAGCAAAAATAAACTCTTTCTTGCATAAATTGCTTTTGGTCATGGCCTTTTATCACATTAACAAAAAGTCACTAATCCAAGCGTCATTTAGGGTTTAACTCTTGTTTTGTTCTATGTATTTGTATGAACCTACTAACAGTTCAAAGTAAAATTTTACAGATTATACTCTGCTATAATATTTTGTCATGAATGCACAGTTTTTGTACCGTTACAATGCTAATCCCATTCAGGTAAGAGGCCATGCTGGAATTTTACCTTTTCTTATATTTGCAGATTTATTCTATAGATGAAGATGAAAAATTAGCATCTACCTTGGAAATTCTCTTACCCCGAGATCTGGCGGACGGATTTGTGAATAATAAGCGAGAAAGCTACAAGTTCAAGTAAGCTCTGTGTCCCTCCTCTTGGCTTACTAAGCAGGTGCTTGTCCTGTGTCAGTTTCTGCTGCCAAAATCGTCAGCCCCATTTCTGTGGTGACCATAATATGGTATACATAATAATGGCTCAAGGCCATTATTATGCCCAACATTAAAAGGTAGGTTTCTGTTTTTGAGATTATATTCCCGGGCTGGAGAGAAGGCTCTGTCCATAAAGTACTTACCTTCCAGGCCTGAGGACCTGAGTTCAGATCCCTAGAACCCATGCGAAAGCTGGACACAGTAATGGCCCCCTGAGATCTGAGTAAGATGGGAGGCAGAGGGAGGTGGAGCCCTGTCAGCCCATGCACCAGCAAACCTGGTAAAGTTGTAGGCCAGTGAGCTCCGTTGTCAAACACAAGTTGGAATGAACCCTGAGAATGGGTGTGTGAAGCTGTCCTTTGACTTCCACAAATATATTGGGAACACGTGCACCCCACCACCACAGATATGCACACGCATGAGCACATACACACCACATATAGGTAATAAAGAGGTAACACGGTTATAGTACCAGCTTCCAGCTCCAGTGTCACGATTATCTCGCTCTGCTTATTGTGGGTTAGTCCCTCATGAAGTCCACGAACGTGAAGATGCCATGAAAGGTGAGATGTTCTGGTCCAGTCTCTGTGTTGCTTAGGTGGGCTGTGTTTGTGGTATAAATGATGCCCAGGTCCCAGGTGCACAGGTCCATATTCAGTACCTGTGATGTCCTGTGGACCATCCACCTGAATCACGTCTATCCTGAAATGAGGTACTCTGTAATATATCCATTTATTCCAAAGTTTTAATGTGAAAAAATAAAAAGAATATAAAATATCTCAGGAACTTTTTTCATGTTGATCCCATATCATAGTGACAAAAATTTGAATGTATCAGGCTAAATGTACTATTCTAATTAATTTCCCAGGTTCATTTTTTTCTTCTACTTTAAACTAGCTGGAGCACTTTAGATACCATACGTGGGTAGTTTTGTTTTTCTCTTAGGCTGTGCATTCTTCACTGCCATCCAGGGAGGTGAGAGGTCCAAGCCACAGGGACAGGAGGAGCAAAGTCCTCAAGACAGAAGAGTGCTTGTGTGTTCGAGGAAAGAAAGGGGACCACGAGGCTTACAGAGCAAGCAAGGGACAGGCCGGAAGAAGACAGATCCAAGGACACAGAGAGGCCAGCTTACATAGGAACTTATGAGTGGCTGGAGCTGTCGCCTCCCGTGCTGCAGCACACCCCCATTGCCATAGCGCCATCCTTGCTGACCTTGCGGTAGGATGGCACTTGCGGACACATGCAGCAAACACTGTAAGGGGGCAAGGAAGACAGGTGACATAATTGTAAAGTAATTAGTGGGAAGTGAACTGCTAAGGAATGTCCACTGTATCCCGTTCTGCATCCATCTGTCTCACCAACCTACGTACTAAACAGAACTAAAACTGTCTGTACTAGCTGGGTGGTGGCGGCGCACGCCTTTAATCCCAGCACTAGGGAGGCAGAGGCAGGCGGATCTCTGTGAGTTTGAGGCCAGCCTGGTCTACAAGAGCCAGTTACAGGACAGGCTCCAAAGCCACAGGGAAACCCTGTCTTGAAACACCCCCCCACACAAAAAAACAATCAAAAACAAAACAATTGTATTGAACACACACAGGCTCTGTTATCATCTTTCCATAAACAGCATAGTGTAAAGTTATTCACATGAGTATAAAGCTATTCACATGACATTTGCACTGTATTGGGTGTTGTAAGAAATCTGCATAATATATGGAGAGAGAGAGGCACAAACCGTGTACAAACACTGTTATATGATGTAAGAGGTCTGCACACCTGCAGACATGTCTGAGGATGCCAGGCTCTACTCTAATTGGATTCTGATATTTGGAGGCCAGAGTTGACAGAGTTTGCCCATGAACTCATTACAAAGTAAAATAAAAAGAGAGGGACCAAGGGGGCGTTTGGGACCGAGCATTTAGAAGGAGTTGTCGTCTTGTGCAGTTGAAATGGGCTTTGGGTATTAAAGGGATATCTTGGTCCTCAGGAGCCCCATGCTCTGTCTGGGTGTGTCACTGATGGCATGAGGGCCCCAAGTCACGTTCTGTCTGGGTGTGTCACTGATGGCATGAGGGTCCCGAGTCACTTCTTATCTCCTTGGCCTCAGCGTCATCTTCTTGAACTGAACTTCTTGCAGCTGTTCTGAATTCTAGGCTTCTCTTTTACTCTTCAGAAGACAGCTGGTCAAAGTTACCGTCCAGATTGTAACTCTGTTGTGAAAGTGAAATGTTTGGGGATATCTGATGCTCAATACACAATTACCTATAAACTCTGATCTTGAAGTCTTCATTCTGAAGTATGGAGATAATAGAACTCTCTGGATGATTTCTTGTTCCACCATTCTTTTAAAGACCAGAAGATATCCTTTTAAACTGATTTAATGGATGCAAAGGTGCTTTCGGTTTTTAAAATTAGTACACAGGTGTATATGCACTGTACTGGGTGTTGTGAGAAAGCTGTGTGCCCACGGGGGCAAGAGAAGGGCGTTTGGTTCCCTGGAGTTGGATTTACAAGTGGTTGCAAGGTGCCGTATGTGGTTCTGGAAACTGAACTTGGGTCCTCTGTAAGGGCAGCGAGTGCTCTTAGTCTCTTAACCTGAGCCATCTCTCTAAGCAGAGGGTATCATGCCCTTCCTCCAAGTAATTCACTATGTTTTACAGGTATTGATCTAAAATTGTATTTCAATCTAATTACAACCTTGGTAGAGTGCCTACATGTGGGAAGCACTTGATATGCATTTGGGAAATACACAAGTCAGTAAATGGGCTGACCATAATTAGCTTTATACAAGGAGCCTTTCAGAATATATTCAGTGGGTGACCTGTGCCATCTTGAAAGTGCCTGGCACCTCTTGATGTTCCAGTAATAGATGTAATTCCTAGTACTCATGGAAGTGGGATGGGGAATGTAATATTGCCTCAGGATCACCAACAACCAGGTGAGAGAAGCCAGCAGGCCCTGTTCATAGACAGCTTCCCAGAGGCCCTGCTGGACCATGGTCCTTAGAGCACACTCATGCATGGTGGCTGTGTGCTCTGTGAACTTCTGTGCCATGCTGGTGTTCAGATCTAAGGCTGTGGTTTACCTGTAGGCTTGAAGGAGTGTTCCAGACCCCCCAACTGCAATGCTACCTCCTCATATCTGCTGTTGTCTCCTGAGTCCTAAGACGAGTGGTTCTCAACCTATGGATTGTGACCCCCATGAAGTTGAATGACCCTTTCACAGAGGTTGCCTAAGACCATCAGAAAACACAGATATTTGCATTATAATTCATAACAGTAGAAAAATTACAGTTATGAAATAGCAACAAAGTCATTTTAGGGTTGGGGGTCACCACAGCATTAGGAAGGTTGAGGACTGTTGCCTTAGACTGTCTCACCATTTGCTCATCTCAGATGAAGGTTGGAATTTAATATTGGTCTGTGATGATACATTTCTTTCTATTTGGTATTTCTAATCTAACTCAGGGCATCCATCTGTACTCCCCAGTGGTAAAACTGCCTTATATGTCCCCTGCTGTCTCACCCCTTCAGATAGATGTGGCCAAATGACTTATGTAGTAGGCAGGCATCCTGACCAGAGATCCAAAGCCACCATGAAAGCTGCTAAAGATATCCTCAAAAGTTTCGCTTGAGAGTTCTTACTTTGAAGACTGTATCTGCTCCACCTCTATCTTGAAAAATGTAAGGCGCTGGGAACAGATCTTATTTGGCAAAGTGCTTACTTTGCAACCATGATAACCTGTGTTGGATCCCCAGAACCTACATCATTTTAAAAGCCAGATGGGAAGGCATGCCTATAAACCTGGACCAGGGAGACAGAGGCACTTGAGCTTGGTGACCAGTCAGCCCAGCCTGCTCGGTGAACCCCAGGCCAGCGAGAGACCTGTCTTCAAAACTAAAGGCGGATGAAATCCAAGGAAAGACACCAGTGTTGTCTTCTGACCGCTGCACATGTACACATATGCACAGAGAGAAAGGGGAGGGGAGGGAGAGGGAGGGAGAGAGAGTTAAATACATGGAAAACATAAATCAGGCCAGGCGGTGCTCCGTGGAAGAACCCCCTTTGTGATGCTTCAGTTGGTACTGAACTTGCTGCAGAAGAGCAGACTGTCTCACCCGAGTGTCCTGCTGTGCTGGCCATCCTACACCAACCTGAAGAGTGATTCTGCAAGGAGGGTGGGACTGCACTCTGCCCCCTCCCAGAACTTCTGTCCCTGCCTTTGAGGAAGACCTGGCTTTGCAGGACACAGCAGTCTTTTCTGACTGTTGAATAATGGGCAAGGAAAAGAGACATCAGCACCCAAAGCTGGCATCACTGTTATAGGAGGCACCTAATGCCTGGGCACGAAACCGCAGTGCAGATGCTTACATTCAGGGGTAGTGCAGTTCACATTTGCAGTCTTCCCTCACGGACAGACATCCGTGCTTGGGTTCCCAACTCATGTATTTTTAGAGGTTTGACTCTGATACTAGCCACAGACACTGTCCTGTTGTGGGATATTTGTTCAGCTAGGCAAAGATGTGTTACCATTGTTTGTGCAGCATTTGTTTAACTATGTAAAGGTGTGTTGCTGTTTTACCTTGCCTAAGGCACCTGATTGGTCTAATAAAAAGCTGAACAGCTAATAGCTGGGCAGTAGAGGGATAGGCAGGAGTGGCAGGCAAAGAGAATCAACAAGGAGGAAGAGGAGGAGGAGGAATCGAGGCTTGAGAGAAAGGGAAGGAGATGCCGGGGCCAGACAGACAGACAAGCGAGAAACAGGAAAGTAGGGCATACAGAGGGAAAGTAAAGCCCCAAGGCAAAGCGTAGACAAAGAGAAACAGGCTTAGCCAAGTTATAAGAGGCAGCTAGAAATAAGTATGAACTAAGACCGAGCATTCATATCTAAGAAGTCTCCATGTCCGAGAAAGCCTGCTGAACCGTCCCTCTTGAGAGCTCAGAACACACAGTTTATTATGTGGTTCAAAGCTGGTGTGATCTTTTTAAGAGGGGGACAATTGTACAGATCTTGTCAAAGCCATATTGTTTACTCAGCATTTGTGAGCGAGAGTACAATGCCACAGTGTGGGGGGGATGACAGGGCAAACATTGTGTTAGGTTAGCTAAGCCCAGTGATGTCAGCTTGGGGTCAGTTACAAACGTGTTTATGAAAACAAGACTCATTAATCCAGTAGTCCTTCAAGGTGTAGCTTTGAGGTAATTACTGTTTTCCCATTGCAGATTTCAAAGGATATTTGACCAAGATGCAAAGCAAGAGATTATTTTCGAAGTCATTGCCAAACCAGTCGCTGAGAGGTAGGACTTCCCAGACTCTGATCCATGGGTTTGTGGCTTCTCATCTTGTCTTCAGTCCTTGGGGGAATTGTGGTCATTTGCTTCCATGTATCAATGCTTCAGAGCATGAAACAATGGTGATGGTATTAATTATTCATATCAATAACTGCTTGTTTTGGACTCAGTTTATGAGCCTCCAAGCAAACCAGAGATGCAGATGGAATAGCTCTTCTCAGCCTCATTTTAAACGGTCCAGTGTGGGCGGGAGTGATGACTCGGCTCTTCTTAGTCTCATTTTGAAAGGCCCTGTGTGGGCTGGATCAGTGGAAGACTCCATGGTAAAGAGAACACACTGTATTTGTAGAGACCAGCGTTCAGTCCCCAGCACCCACATGGCAGCTCACAACCTCCTATAACTCTAGCTCTGGGGTCCTAACACCCTCTTCTAGCCTCCAAGGTCACCTACACACCTGTGTACATACTAACAATGCAGACACGTACACACAAACACATAGAGAGATCCTTTAATAGGTTCCATAAACCAAGGATTATGTAGGCTGGCACTGTTCAAGGTGGTGTAGCTACTGGTATTGAAAATCAAGATGGGTTTCTAGCTGTTATTTCAGTGCACTTTCCTTGGCTCAATATTTCTTTTTATTATTACCATTATTATTTCATTTTCATGTGTTTCTATGTAGTGTATATGTGTGTGTTCACGTGTGTGTGTGTGTGTGTGTATGAACTTATCAGTGCTTGAGAAAGTGGAAACTAGAGGTCGCTGGGGGTCAGTATGGAGATGTCTATCTCAATGGTTTCTCTGCCGTATTTTTTAAGATAGAGTCTCTCACTGAGCCTGAATTCACCATTTCAGCAGGAATGCTGGCCAGTGAGCACCCAGGAGCTGCCTGTTTCACAGTGATGGGGTGAAGGCATACACTGCCATGCCAGGCTTTTTCCATGAGTGCTGGGAATCTGAGTCCAGTCCCCATTCCTATGTGGCAAACAAGCACTTTACCCACAGAGTAATTCCCTTGGCCCCTCAGTATTTCAAACAAATGACTGGATGGGCAAAGAATAAGGTTAAAAGATGACACTCAGGAAGCCTAATGATGGTTGGCTCTGCCCTGCCTCAGTGACCTGTGAAAGCTTGGTCCTTACTATGTAGAGCCATATGTTACATTATTTCCAGGCTGGTGACTGCAAAGAATGAAATATGCATGATGGTGCTGGATAGTCAAATGCAAACTTATTGACGTATCTTGGCAAAGTTTTCTTGGATCTTGGTCAGTGGTTCTCAACCTGTGAGTGGCAACCGCTTTGGCAAACTTCTATCTCCAAAGTATTTGCATTATGATTCCCAATGGTAGCAACGTTACGGTTAGGAAGTAGCGTTCAAATAGTTTTGTGGTTGGGGGTCAGCACACCATGAACAACTGTTTTAAAGGGTCGCAGCGTTAGGAAGCCTGGGAACCACTTCTCTAGACAGTCACAGCCCTTGGCAAACACCTTGTCCTTTGTGAGGAATTTCACTGGGAGCTCCTGCCAATGAGGTTGCTCTCTGATCCTGAAGCTGTTAGAATGGTTCTGTACCCATCCATCTTTACAGCTAAGACGAAAAATGTCTCTGCTAAATGAGCCAATTTTCTCAACTCATAGTTCATGTCACTTTCTGTGGACAGTGTGGGAAACCCATTGTTGCTCCCTGTCTCTCACACTTCTCCATTATGGAGCTTGCTAAAGCAAGCTCTTTCCATCTCATACAATCTTCCTTCATTGATAAAATACAATCACATGAGCGTTAAGTATTTCTTCTATAACCATAGTCATGAAACCTTTCTTTGGATTAAATTCAGGTTGCCCTAGTCAGACATCAAACTAGACTGGAATTCTACTCCTTTCAATAATTGCTGGATTTGCTTATTTTTCAAGGGGTAGTCTTGAATTTAATGTAAAAAGTGGTATGTATGTGTTTATGTGTGGGTACAGTGTGTAGATACCTACCGAGAACAGAAGTGGGCATTTGGGTCCCTGAAACTGGAGGTCCAGATGGTTGTGGGCTACAGTGTGGGTGCTGGGACCCAAACCCAGGTCCTCTGCAAGCGCAGGAAGTGCTCCTGACCGTTGAGCCATCTCTCCAGCCTCTAGTCTTTATTTTATTTGGAAATGTCTTCACTCCTTCGTGGAGGGAAGCTTGTCTTCCTCTTTTACTGACTCCCCCATCTCCACCCCCCACTTGGAGCCCCTGCTCCCTCCCTCAGCTTTTCTTAATCTCAAATCTGTATCTGAAGGTGATGCATTCACAGATGGCTCCAAGATCCAGTTTGTCTTACTGTCCTTCCAAAGAATGATAGTTAGGGAAGGCCAACAGAAACAAGGCCTTCTGGGAGCTCTTTCCTGCACAGATGGGCAGTGATGGGCAACAGCTGGCAAGACTTTGACTGTAGTGCTGGATTTGTAACTGACTGTCAATAGCACAGCCATACTTAAGACACACATTACATAGGTGGGGTGTGGCCGGTACACCACTGAGTTTGTTCAGTTCTTCGTCCTTTGCAGATCCAAATATCGGCACCTGGAGCATGAGCTTGCTTGATAGGATTTCTGTCCTCTGAATTTTGGGCTTCCCCTTTATTCTCACCCTTGAGTTCTGGGTCTGAATTTACAGCATATTCTTCAATAAATAGCACACAGATTTACTTAGGGTTGTCAGAAAACACTGAGAATACATTTATGTGTGCCCCTAAATGCTTTGACAAGTTCGGAGCACTGTCCTGTGGAGAATCTCCCTCAGCTAATGAAGGAATCTCATATAGTGTCAGATGGTGCTTTGGGTGGGAAACCAGGGCGTGGGCATTTGGTGGACTTTTGCTTGACCACACAGTTATGAAGCTGTGGATGTAAGATGAGAGTCTACCTTTCTCTGATCTGACCTTTGTGTTTCTATAATCACACTTAGTATCTGGTACCCTTGCTAACCTCATGGATGCCATTCTTGTTACTGAAAGGTCATTTTGTCTAACCTCATCCCCCCCCATCATCATTGAACCATGTCACCTAACTCCTTGCTCTTGCCCTTGAGAAAGCGCAGGCTAAGATATGCGTTTATATGGCACAGTCTCATGGAGGTGGGGAAGCAAATGTCACTTCCATTTCCTGGATTTTCCTTCCTGTGATCCAAGTGTCTACAGTCTCTGATGGGCCCATAACTCACTCACACTCAACCACAGTTAGTGCACGCAAGTGTATAAATACTCTTAGAAGAAAATAATTATACATATAAATTAAACTTTAGTCATCATTCATTCAGTGAAATTAAGCAATTGATTGATTAGTTAATAATTCATTTTGAGACAGAGTCTCACTACACAGCCCTGGCTGTCCTGGAACTCTCTCTGTAGACCAGACTGGTCTTAAACTCAGAGCTCTTCCTGCCTCTGCCTCCTGAGTGCTGGGAATAATGTATACCTGGCACCATTCAGTGATTGTTAGCAAAGAGCTAATGTTTCAGGCCCAGACTATAATCCTAGCTCTTGGGAGGCTGAGGCAGGAGTTTACTAACTGAAGGCCAAGGTGATCTATGGGATCGAGACATACACATATATAGATAATTAAAAAGAAAACAGTAAAATCTTACAAAATCCTAACAAGCCTTTGTTCATGTCACCTTACTAAGGAGGCTCACCCTGACCACCTTGTAAAAACGGCATGCCCTACCTCACCAACATGGCGTTCCTGACGCCCTCCCCCTGCCTGATGTCCATCGTACCCATGGCACTAGCCACCTGGAATGGCCTTTCCTTGTACAGTGTCTGTTACTCACTGTCTGTCGCCTCCTGTTCTGCCCCTGTGATTTCCAGACATCTGTTGCCATCACCTCAGTGGTGTCCAGCAGGTAACTGTGGAATTAGTGATGTCTGAAACTGTTAGATAAATACACAGTTTCTAGGGCACCCCAAATTGTACATGAATAGCAATGAAAGGCAAATCACTTTATCGATTCTTTAAAATGTTCCCAGCTAACGCGTTTGCGTTTTATTTACTTCAGTTAACAGAAATTCCCATGTGGAGCCACGCGCTCGCCCTGTGTTCTTCGGGATGTTTTGCCATTGTTGCATGTTTTGAGCCATAACACACTTTCAGAATGCTGAAGCCAGCGCAAACAAACCTCCCAGTGACTTAATTCATACCTACTTGCTGAGAGTATTTCTAGGCTTCAGAGGGGCTCGATGGTTAAGAGCACTTGCTGTTCTTGTAGAGAACCGAAATTCACTGCTTGGCATCAGCATGGCATCTCACAACTGCTTCTGATTCCTGCTCTGGGGATCTGTGCCCTCTTCTGGCCTCTGTGGGCATTGCACTCATATGCACATACACAGATACACAGGCATACACATAATTAAAAGTAAATATTTGCATTGCTTAAAGGACATTTATCTCTTCTTAGGCCCCATTTTGCTTCCATGTTAGTGTTAACAAGTACAGTGTGGTTTTGCTGCAGTGTTGTTGCTTCTCCAACTTTGGGTCCCTAGCTGGTTGTGTTATGCTTATTTTCCTGGATATTTTGTGTTAGGGATTTGATGGTCATAACGTTTTCTTTGGTTGACGAATCTATTTCCTCTAGTGTATCAATGTGTTGGGTTTATCTTCATTCATAACTAAGAATCCTTCACCCATGGCTCTTTAGGGTTCACATACATAGTCACTAACCTGTGTTCACTTCCAGGCAGTAGAATTCAGACCTTCAGTGTCCCTTTTTCTCTGATGTAATTTGGTGTTACTTTATCATTACCAAGTTTTCTTCACCTTAAGACAAAAATCCGAGCATTATCTGAAATAGGAAAAATCTTTTATATATGAAAAAACCCCTGAACTGTGGGCTGGGAATATAATTCAGTGGGAGAAAACTTGACTATTGTGTATGAGTCCCTAAATATCATTCCCAGCAAAACACACACACACACACACACACACACACACCCCTGTTATGTACTGTAACTATATAGACTTGCATCTGTGTATGT